AAAATACGTGAAATAGCGTTCTAATGAATCTAGAAATTCAAAATTTTCCTCGCGCCTACGGCGCTCGCATTCGAAATCCATAAAAATTTTGCCCCCGTGCCCCATCCGAAAGTTTAGACGACTGCAAAAGTTCTGAAAAACTGAACGTTTATTTAAACTTTTGGAATACTATCCCCGTCTTACCGTTTATGCGCTTTAAATAGTTGGCTTTTCTTACCAAACACAAATACTACAAAAGTCGGTCCCAGCACATAGAACACCCCCCAAATTTTTTGCGAATGTGCGCCCCTGCACATGTCGTAGAATTAACAGTATCCATATCCTCAAGAAATGAAACCCGACACTTTCCAGAACTTAAATGGGCTTGGGCGAATGAAATTGGTCGTACAATTAGCTCGTTGATTGCACAGGCAAGCCCTGCACAGCCTTGGTATTTCAACACGCTTTCCACTGGGATAGAAAAAGTGAATATTGTAGCTCTCGAGGGAAGTTATGGTTGCTTGTCAACAAGAGACAATGTCAATGGAACTGATCTTGTCTTCGACTTTCTTTTGCATCATCTTTCCAAAATAGAGGACGATCATAATTATAAGTTATGTCACAAAGAAGACAGTAAAATATATAAATGCTGCAGTGTTATCGGTTTCGGAAATCTTAAATTGTGTACTGATTATTCATCAATTGCACTGGAATATGCTAATGAGTACATAATCGCTATGACAATCATCACTGGTATCATTGTTCTCCCTTTAATACTTAAATACCTACGATCATTTAAGAAAGAAAGTAAACATTACAAGTTTTCTGACAGTCCAATGGCACTTTCATCGATTTTCCATGCTGCTTTGATTGAGGAAAAAGGTCCAGTGAAGTCTGCCCAAAGAAGATTAGTATTTTCACTTACAGTCACGGGGATTTTGTATGTTAGCGGAATGGAGTCAACATGGGTTGTGATTGCGGCGGTATGGATTATTCCTTTTACAGCTTTTGATACGTTCGTGATAAATTACGATTTGCAATTCGATGTAATCCTACCTCTCATTATCGGTGAAAATGACACGTTTGACATCTATGCAGTTATTCTAACTTTACCTTTCAATTTCAAATTTTGGTCGAATGCCTGCAAGCGGCCTGAATTTGAACAATAAAATTCGAACTATCAACAGATCCGGGACAACCACAACTACGAATTACCAGTGCGTGGGAAAATAGTTCAATTTTTTAAGGATACATTATTAATGCTGCTGTATTTATGCTTTTTCATTCCGATTTGTTGGATCGTTTTTTCCTGTCTTATTTTCATGTCCACGTTGATATTAATCTATCCTCCATCAAGTCGCATGTTCAAAATCGTTATCGACTGTGTTTCCTTATTCTGTGACATTGGCGTTCTTGACGCCGGTATCTGGCAGCATTTTACGTGGATTGTAATAAACTTGTTTCCTTTCTCTTTTACAATTTTAAATTTGGTTCTTATTATACGTTCTATAATCTCTTTCTTGACAGTTGTACTCTTATTCATTTCTGGCTTGTACCTCAATGCCGAATTCTACAGTCCGACTGTTGCACCAGCCATGATTCTTGCTGTTTATTGTTGGAGATGTTGGCGAACATTTGTAGAAACAAAGTATTTGCAACTTAAGACGAAAATCTACGAAGTTTCCGTGGAACGTGCGAATGAAAATTCGTTACATGCGGAAATTGAGGATGATACGTCGATGCCAACGAATGAAGCATGTAACTTTAATACTGAAGGAAATCATGATGAAATAGATGACGGTCGGTTCACTGTGAATATTAAGACAGGCACGATCTCAAAGGCTCTCTACGAAGAATTGAGGGAAACGTATTTGCTTTATGACGAAGTTCTGTTTTGGTTTCTCGTAAGATTGTTTTTGATTGCAAATTTTTGCCTTTTTGTATCCGTTAAGATGTTATTTTTTCAAAAATCTGGTATCTCTGGAGAGTTACAGATAATTAGCACAATGGCAGTGGGTACACTTCCGTTCATATTCGACGCAATCTGGGCCGAGCATACTTCGGAACAAAAATGTTGCAGACATGGAACTAACGCTAACACAACGACAAGTAATCAAATTTGAAAGGAAAATTGGTGATATCATATAATGGTTGAGGTGAATTGCAATAGAAAGAGGAATCTCGGATTTTTGCACAATTTGCTAGGCTATTTCTAATAGGCTCTAGCAGTTTTTATTGATGATAACATAATTGTTACTGGGTTTTTTTTAATATAGTTTAATTTTATGTTACTGGTACTTCAATGCCAATCGGGGAATTTTAATTTATAATTAGAATAATTTAATTTTTAATATGATATATTGATTTATACGGGCGAAGCCCGAATCTGTCACCTCATAGAAATCGAGTAATCTAATTTTTTAGTAGAGTCAGAGATCAAACATAAAATACTCCACAAAATAATTCAATAATTCAATAAAAAACGCGAACCGGAAGCAATTATTTTTAAAAAATGCGCCAGGAAAATTGTTTTGCTACTCAATAGATAGCTAGTAGAGTAGCCAATCAAATTATAGCATGCAGTTGCAATAGTACACTAGTATGATTCTACTAATTTAATTATCAAGGAATATGTAATTTAAGCAAGGATACAGCGGATCAAAACAACGAAACGGGAACCGGAATAAAGTTAAATAGGATATTTCATAGCCAATATATAAGCATGCTGCATGCAATTATAGGCATGCATGCACGAACCTTACGCTCATTCATTACACTCATATGCGTACGGGGCATGGGGGTACGGGGGTCTGCAGCTCCTTAGAAAACTTGAAATTAGATTTAATAACAAGAAATGTGTAAGATATATAATAGTCGAAAATACCAGAATATGTAAGGTTTACAATTTCAACCCTTTCCAAAATTTTTCGAGTGTCGTATAGCTATAGAATGTCATAATCAGCATAATAATTTAGTGTCTTGAGATTTAAAGTATTTTGTATCTTGAGAAATAAAGTCAACACATAAAGTCTTAGACCTAGAATATTATTATTTTAAGTGCTCCTTGATACTGACATATATCTGTATATAGAAGTTAAAATTGCAGCCAGTGTGTATAATCCAATGTTCTCCATGCCATCCAGTCACTCATTGAAGGGTTTGCAGGCTGTTGTTTATCTCGTTGTTACCCAATTCGCAACTTTAGATAACTCACATGACTAATTACTATATTTGTTCAAGTTTACAGAAGCACAATAACAAACAAGGTAACTAAGCATTAAAATTATGTAAAAGATTACGAAAGTTTATATGGCTTGTTTACGTATTTGAAAACAATGTTTTAGTGTTTATATGCAAATTAGCAAACCAAAGAAGACAAAGATTACCTATTCACAGAAATTACAGTCATATAGAGGTACGCAAGTCTCGCAAAGAATATTGCTGTGCTCCCTTGGTTCTAGGTTATGGTTCTGTATAAACTAGAACAATAGTAACCAGGCATGTGGCTTACCTGCATGAATTTTACCTTTCACCCGCATTTGAGGAACGAAAAATATGGCCTGACACTCAGGCTGAAGGATTTTGGTAGATGGAAATTATCGAGTGTAAATTTTATATACAGTTTTAGACCTAACCAGGAACAGTTGCAAACTATCGCCTTCTGACAGGAATCAAACATGCGGCCCTGCGATTCCGATACAGCGCTCTATAATGCACAAAAAATCTCGATATTTACCCATAACTTATACTGGCACATCACCCACTATATAGATACAAGAATTTGTGGTTAGAGCTCGACAACTGGACATGTATCTCAGTTGGTTAGAGCACTACACTGGAATCGCAAGGCGGCAGGTCCATGCAATTCTGCCAGAAGCCCTATCCCACCGGGCACACGACGTTGTTTCAACGTTGAAATTTGGTAGAAAAAAGGTTGCGACGTCGACAACCTAATATCTACGTTGCTCTGACGTTGTTTTACAAACATTGGTTCAACAGCAGCCAACAGACGTTGAATTAACGTTCATTCATGGTTAAATGTACGACGTCGATTTGTGAACCAATTTCAACGTTGTTTTAACGTGGATTCAACGTTGAATTATGGTTGACGAGATTGGCAACCTAACTTCAACGTTGTTTCAACGTCGAAACAGTAACGTCGATCCAATTTGCATAGTCAACCCTTTTTCAACGTCTATCCAACGTCTGGAAGGTTATTTACAACGTTGATTCAACGTTGGATAAACGTCATTTTGCCCGCTGGGATAGTTGCATTTTTCGCAACTGTCCTGGTCAAGTCTATCAGAGATGATTACTCAAATACTCGCCGAATCCCCCTCACTCCAGATCTATGAATGCTAAGTATTATACTATGCGAGATTCACCTATATGAACTGGATTTGTGATTGGTTGATCACAACAATAAAAAGCTTTCTAAAGAACGAGTCATGAACACTAATCACTATAGAGCGTTTGCACTCATTCTCCCGGGTCCAACTCAACAAAAGCCATGGCAGCCATGTTGGTGTTTCATACAAAAGAGTCTAATGCAAATTATTTTGAATTGATCTTATGCATAATGACGTCACAAGGCCTGATGCCCGCGAGAAATGTTGGTCTTAGTATAGTCATCACCCGGGAAAATTAGACAATTCAAAATGGCTACTATCGAAATTTTCCCGGGCGTTGACTACTAAGAACAGCATTCCTCGCGATCATCAAGCCTTGTGACGTCATTATGCATAAGGTCTATTGGAACACTAACATGGCGGCTGTGACGTCATGTGCAAACGCTCTATTGTTTTATGAAGCCAATCACAAAACATGATCATTTTGGGTTGGTATTTACTCCCGTTTCACGCTAGTTTAACCTTATTTTCGCGTCACAATTTGCCGCGGCCCATTTGCTGGTTAAGGTGACAAAGAAACATGGCGCGACTGGAAATCCCTTATTCATTGTCGTACTATTATTCAAACTAATTTATCAATTCTTTAATACGCCATATCGATAATTAGGTCGGCCCGAGAGCCTCATTCTCATGAATCGCGAGCAAATCGCCTTATACGTCTTGATTAATAAGAACGAGGCTCACAGGCCAAGAAAGTATTCATGACGTAATTATCGAAAAGGTAATGAGGGATATTTTCAGTCGTTAAGTTATAGCGTGGAGTTTCCAAAACCATCTTCCAAAATCATAATTTACAAACATTTCCCTTTCCAAGCACAACATATACAGTACAAACCAAAGATATGATACAACTGATTCGCTTAATAAGTTGTCATTCCAAAACTTAAACCTTAAACTGTGAACGCGCAAGGGATGATGGTTATTGTTTATTTAGGCTCATAAACTTTGAAATTTGGCTTTGAAAGAATACCTAAGGCATATACAAGACGCACGACAGAAAACATTACTTGCTGCATGCAAAGGCAAGTTTCTGAGTTTAAGGGCCTAATAAGTGAAAACCCATTATCCCTTGCGCGCTCAGAGTTTAAGGTTTGTGGTTTTGGAAGAACAACCTTAATTGAATCAGCTGTATACAGTATTAAACACCACTCTGCATATCACTCCCAGTCTCTGAACAATTTTGATCCGTAGGTACTATAAGACTTTCCTGAGCCATCAATTCATACTTTAACACATACGCAGCAAACTGACGACATAGATTTGTCTCTGCCTGAAAAGACAGCAATGGAATGTACATCAGAAATGCGAACAACAGAGTAATAGATAAAATGATAGAAAGGACCCCCAAAGCGACGACGAAACGGCGAAAAATAATAGACCTCCAAGAGGTTAGGAGTTGTGAGGGTAGTAGGTTTATTATGTCTGGCTGTATTGAATTAGAGCGTAGAAATAACCTGGCCCTGGGCCTCCACCTCCAGATAAAAAGGGCCCCAAAAGCGACGAAGGCCCTTAAAATTTCTGCTAAACCGAGATATATATCCTAGCTGCGTCAGTACCGGAAAATATGCGATAAAGCATAATATGTTGTAAAAACAGCACTTCTCCCGTTTTTCAGTTATGACGTTATATAGAGGCTCTAGAAACGTTTTATAACGTTAAAGTCTTGCCCACGCCCAGTGAGCTCAATATATACTGTATTTGGAGCAAGAACTCGATCCCAAAAGTGAAGCTAGCTTCCTATAGCATTTCAATGTCTGTGCTACTTATTTTGCTCCTGGGATTTGAAAATATACATTCTAATTAACCGCGTTGATAGAAATTAGAATCAAATACAAAGTTATTTGTAATGCAGAAAACTAATTATCAGTTCGACTGCGAATGAGTCAACTATTGTGTTTACGCACGCTTGGGATCAATTAGTTCTGAATCATGAAAATTCTAAAAACATTCTATTTCAGAGGGTTTGCAGGTGTTTTGATACAATTAAAGCTAGCCATGGCAACTGGTCATGCATACTGTACTTATGAATCTGCATCTATATAGGTTAAAGACAATACATTTCTAAAGGTTTGAACTAATGAAATCATTAAACATGTGCATAGCATAACCTGTTGCTGTGGCTGGCTGCGCCACTGCCGATTTCAAAGGACAGCTAGGTTCAGACCATTCTTATATAAAAGAAAACCCGCTTTTGTTCATAGGTTCTGAACTTCCTAGTCAAACTCAATGACAAATTTACTACGCTTCATCAGATTATATTTTTGTTAAACCATCCAATTTTCAGATCGAGTTCATGTCAAATATAGTCTATGATCAATAACTTCTTCGCCGTAAATCGCCACGAAAATTGAGATATATCCGAAAACCGTCCTCTCAAATGCGCAAAAGCCTTCTAACCCGCCAAATTAAAATAGACCTCCTACTGCACGAACGTGACATACTGACGTATCGATGCTAGCAGTTATAATATGCAAATCAAAGAGAAAACTGCAGTCAGTGTGCTTTAGCTGTGAACCTGATAGGTGCTCTGAAAACTTATACAGAACTATAATAAAATTGATCAAAATTCGGTGAGTAAAATTACATAATATTTATGCTGTACTTCTTTTCTCAATCATTAGCCGAAAATTACTGATCTCAATAATGCTTGGATCCAACTGTGCATGAACCTATATACAAAATGTGGAAAAACCCTATATTTTTTAAAGAGTTAGTAAGTTATATAATATGCACGTTAGTTATATAGATATTGTTTATAAGATACTGTATGTTTCGCGTAAGTTGAATTCTGTATCACTTGTTCAGAATGCAACAGTTGAACTGCGTTGTACGTTTAATACAGTTCTGTTCAGATTCGCAGTTTCAGTTTCAGTTTCGGATTCGAATATGATAATAGACCTGTGTCTGGCGTATAAAATGCCGAATTACTCAGTCATTTTCCACGCAATAAACTTGTTAATCAATTTCGTTCTTCTTCAGAACATTACGCATTCAACAAATGTATTTTGAAGCCTTTAACGTAAAATGTGAAATCAGGAAAAATCGCAAAAGACAGACGATCAAGACGCGAATTCATGGTGCGCCATATTGTCGCAAGTGATCGGCAATATTATATTTCGCTGTGTAAAGCAAAATACTCGTTGTAGCTCCTTAATCTCTAAAATCCATTCATTACTACATCATAGTGAATGGCATAAAGTAAACTGGATCTTAAAAACATTTGTCGTTTGGTCAGGAAAATCGCAAAACGTAGCGGACGCGAACCGGCTTTTGTAACCCGAAGCGAATGGCAACAACGCAGCTGAGAGAATAAATCATTCTCACGCATCACACGTTTACATTGAAATATTTTCCAGCAAATTCATTCTTCTACAACTATCATAATATGATATAACGCACTCGTTAGCTTCAAACAACTTCTGGTTTCAGCAGGAAAAATCGCAAAAGATAACTCGCTGCAACTCGTGCTGGACTCAAAAATCCGGGTAGGCATTGGAATTCTCCTGCAAGTCCGCTTCGTTCTCGAGATAGTTTAGTTTCATTTGATATGTAAATGAAATAAATCTATGGCATTAAGAGCGAGTGAAATATTAGTTTCAAAGGGACATTACAAGAAAGGTTATAGCAGTCTCGTCAAAGGTTCAAAAATGATGAAATAATTCAAACTATATATATAGTTGATTCTTTTCACCAACATGCATGTATACAGAAAGTTATGCAGCAAGCAGGCGCTCTAGCTTGCATGGTTTATTAAAGTTTCCCCCTGTAGCTGGAAACACACTCGACCAATGAAGGATAGTTCGTATGGACCTTTAAGGGGAAGAGTTTAGAACTGAGTCGGCTAAAGTTTCCAGTAGCTTCTGCACTTACATCATAAAAGGCTTAAATATTTTTTTATAATAAAAGGCTGAAGTACTTTGTTTTTAATTTTCTTTGTTCAGAAAAGGGGCGGCAAAACATTCCAATTTCTACAGACAGGATGTCTGTACTCCCCCACAAGCTAATAATAATAGTTAGTTATAGCTATACGTGCAGTATTGAAATATATATGTATATATATATTATATTGTACTCTAAACAAAAGAAACGAACTGGCTAGTGCATGCCGTCATGCAAACAAATTTTTAATTAAAAACGGTTAGGCTTTATGACTATGAACGATCGGTATATAAATGGGATATTTTAGTGTAATCTGATCATGCACCTGAAGAGAGAGGATCTAGAAAGGGCCTCTCGAAACAGAACTGTAGTGCTTTTCAATTTTTAATGAACATTCTTAGGTTTTAATCTTTAATTTTTAATTTTATATATATATATATATATATAT